TTGTCGCTTCTCCCGTCGTGATTTTTGTTAGGCCCTGTTCTAAGAGAGCCTCTCACGCGCGTCTCTTCCGCTCGTGAAGGACGCGGGACGGCTCGTATGAAAACCGAAATAGAAAAACAAAATGACTATCCGACTCAAGCATGTTTAGAAGCGCCTGTGGTATTTGCTATCCCTCGTTGAAAAACGCTCTTGGCTCTCGAGGTTAAATCAACGTGATATTCTAACACTATCTTTGTTTAACCTCGAAATAACTTTTTTAAATGCAAATGTACGGTAGCTTTACACGAATGGTCCTTGATTTGCCGGAATCGGTACTCTGGATCTCGAACTCACACGCACGGTGGCGGCGATGTTATCTTGCCCTAGCACTAGAAGCACTGCCGGTACTGCAAAACAGCGCTGCATCCCACGTAGTATCACATACAAATTTCCCTCAAAATCACACCATTAAAAAGAAAAGCAAATTAATTTAGCTTTGCGTTAGGTTCTATATCATAGTGGCTTCGTACATGCGTTGTGGAGCGTTCTGGATAACCCAGTGAGTCATCGCACCAGTAAAATCGAATGCGATTCACTATATCCGGAGTGAATATGGATTCGCCGAGAATGCGGTCACGGTAAAAGGGGCAGCCCGTAAGTTATGAGTCTACATGACAGTAGTACAATGTCGACCCACGCTCGCGACGAATTTCAGCAGGCCGCGACCTAGCTTGGCGCCAAGGCTCATTGTAGAAGCCGCTATGCAAACAAGCTCGCGTTCGCCCACACCATCTGTGGACTGGGCACTGCGCGTGCGCACAAACCAGATTCGCATAAAGTAAAACGTACGCGCATGCGCGGAGGCATGACGTCAGGGCCATATCTCCCTAACCTAAATTTGCAGAGGAAAACAGGTACAGAGTAACCAAAGGAGAAAAAGAAAATCATGAGCTAAAAAAAAATCAAGCAAGTGATTTTTATATTATTTAAATCAGTGTAACTAGAAAATAGCGATTATTTTTTTTTCCAACATGGAAGATTGACTGATTGATTCGTCCAATCACTGATAAAGATGTGGAGGAAACTGTAAATATGAGGTACAGTTTAATTAACAACTTTTTATTGTTCTAATCCCCGCCATACCAGAGCAAAAACAGCTAAACTATTTTTAAAAATCTTAATTTTTAAAAAAAATTTGATTAGATTAATTGTAATAAGACATCCTTTCTAGCCTCCGTTTCTTTCTTTTGCGTTTTGCTTATGTTGAAATAGGCGGTTACGTAACTGACCAGCAAAGTGAAAGACAGAAATGTGCGCAGAACACCACTCTTTTTTTTAGTGTTCAGCCTCATATCTTTCTTCCTTGATGATTTTTCAATTTAAATACAAAACAAATACAGATAGAAATTGTCAAGTGATAGACAAACGGTAGATAAAATAAAAATATATTTTCGGGATCATTTTGGCGGGAAAGGTTTGATTTAAATCACCGTAGTCTGGTCTGATTTAAATCCCGATCTAAATCATGCGGATTTTTATTCTCCACCTTGGAAGTACTGCGTATAATGTGTGTGCCGTGTCGATGTTTCGAAGCCCAACAAGCGAATTATAGTGCTCATTGAAATTTGTTACATGAGTACCTTCTCAAATAGATTAAAGTACACGATTACCTAACGCGAGATAAAATAAATAAATAAGTAAAAGATTTTATATATTCATTTATTTAGATTTCCTCGGAGAGCATTTCATGAGGCGATTCAATCGATACCCATGCTCTGCAAAGATACACCTTACAGGAAAAAGAAAACACGACAACAATATAAGTAGTATAATGCACAAAAAGCCAAAACATACCTACAGGACGAGCAACTAAATCATAAGATCACCTGATGTGTTTTAGCAGAGAGTGGTAATTAGGTTTGCGCGTAAGATTTCAGAATTGCCATGAGTTACAATATGGTGTAATGCGCCATATTGTCATCGCTTCAAACCCGTTCGTTCGGCACGCACAAATGAACTACGCATCGCAGCGAGCTGAAACGCCGTGAGAATGTGACGCTAGCAGTAATGATAAAATCCGAAAGTTTGAGCGCAGGATGTTACCTGCTTCAAATGATACTAAAAAAAAACAAAAGTCATCTACGATCCGACGTCCATTAATGCCTACTTTTCATAAAACGAAAATTTGAGATAGTGGTTGTATGTAACAATTACGTCAGTGAAAAAAAAAAAAATTGTCAGCATGAAAGAAAGCAGTATCGTCTTTCTAAGTTGCCAGCTTCTTTCTTTGCTGAAGTTAGGGCCCTATGCAAGGGGCCCACAATCTCAAATTACGGTTTCATATATTAAACTTAAGCGTGGGCTCATTGATACTTTTCGTTTTTCTTTAGTATCTTTTAAACCATAACGTCATGGGCTTAAACTTTCTCATTTTATCACCACCATACAGCTGGATATTTTTGTGTGCTCGCGCGTCTGTGTGTATGTGTGAAAAAAGCTTCATTACAATGCGTAACTGACGAACGTAGAGAGCTCGATCAATTACGGTTTTATTCGCCCAGAAGAGCGCTGCTTTTTAGTAATTTTCAGCCTGCTATAAACACGTCGCGCTCGATGATTACTATATTTAAGAGGAAATGCGCATAAAGACATAAAATGATATACAAGCTGTAAAATATTGTAGGGATTATTTGTGCGGGAAGGTTTCATTCAAATCGCAATTGAAAAATCGGTGTGATTTAAATTGATTCACGTTTCACCTCGCCAACAAGTTGTAGTCTCGCTTAATTTTCATCGTCTGGAGTTTACTCATGTCGATCAGAAGACATTTCTCACTTTCTCGCTCTTCTCGTGGCGCAAATGTTCGAAGTCCATGGTGATTCATTTTATCCTGATTTCACTTTGGGGCCTTGAGAAATCGGTTGCCCTAAACCAGCGAGTTGCAAGAATTTTTTTTTTTTTTTTTGAGATAACACGCATAATTTTAAAGAGAGGAGGCTTTGTAAAAAAGTAAATAAACAAATAAATGAGAAACTACCTAACTAACTAACCAACTAAATAAATAAATAAATAAATAAATAAATAAAACGTTATGTTTTTACTCGCAAGTTAAACGTCGGCCCGTGAAAGCATTCATTTCGACGTAACTATGGACTGGGAGTCTTTCCTCCATTTTTGTTTTATCTAGATATGCCTGATAAGCACCGCCATAAGCATCGGTGCTGTTTCTTTTTTTTTTATCTACAACGCACGCGCGCACGCACGCACACACACGCGCACACACACACACACACACAGACACACACACACACACAACCTTCCCTGGGAAATAAAGATTTTTATTTTTAGCTCCGGAGTCCCAACCCAGGTGCGAGCTGTAAGGTAAAAACTGACGTTGCCACCTAGGTGGATTTTGCGGAGAGTTCCGACCCTTTGGTTTTATCTCTTTCCCCTCTTTTTTGACCAAAGTGCGCGCCGCCTAGCGTGCAGGCTGAGCATGTACTGGACACGAGCGCTGCGTGAGCGTTCGGCACGGATTCGGGGTCCAATCATACGCCTCGTGCTGGAAAGCAACGCCTAAAACATGGCGGTAGCCATTCTTGCTAAATGGGTTTTGCTCATTTAATGTATCTGTTCTACATGTTTGTCCATGGTGTCTATTTTGCCTCGTAGCAGCCACCTCTGCAAGTTTTGACAAACGTTTGTAGATAATTAGCTGTGGTAATGTTCCTTTGTTGTTGTTGTTTTTTTGTTTTTAGAGTGCAGCTCTTAGGGGCCCGTCTCCGGCTTGAGCGGCGTCGCCGTCGGCGTAACCGCGGGATGCATCATGAGAAATTTCCCAGAATGCACCGCGAGAGCCCCCCCCCCCCCCCCGGGGTCACGTGATCCCCCACCCCGAGGACACGTGACCCCCCCCCCTCCCCCAAGGTCACGTGGTTCCCCGAGGTCACGTGACCCCCCTCCCCCAGGTACGTGACCCCCTCCCCGAGGTCACGTGAGCCCCTCCCCCTCCTCCGAGGTCACGTAACCCCCCCCCCCCCCCCACCCCCCCGGAGGAGATTCAAGAATGAGGGAAGGAGGAGGATAAGGAGGTGAGCAGGAGGGATATACCTTCTCCTCAGTACCCTTTCATCCTCCTCCTCAAGAGCTGCGCTCTAATTCGGCGTTACAGGGAGTTGTAAACGGCTTTCATTCTTTTTAGATGGGATAAATGCATAAGTGGTATAGGATTTGATACGGAATATAATTTTACAGGCCTTAGCGAATCTTTTAAAAAGCTGCAAGCTTCAACAAACAAAATATTCCTTCTTTTTTTAACGAGAGTTTTTTTTTTTTGGGCAGTTTTAATTTAAAGCGAGATGTAAAATAAAATACGGGCGCTAGTCAAAATAAATTGCCAAAGCTAGAAGAGCGGGCGGCGCAACCGCAACCTGGCAGCTTCCGCCATCTACGAGGGTAAAGGTAAAGTAACAATCGCATCATGTCTACAGAACCCCAAAGATGGCAGCACCAACACAGCAACCTGATGGTTTTGGCTTTCTGGCTGGTTTTTGTTTCGCCGTAAACGAAAAGAAAAACACAATTATCTGGGTCAATCGATAAGCGTTCAATAACTCAGATTTATTCGGCCTGCAGATGCGATATAATAGCGCAGCAATTAACGGTTGCGTGCCCGAAAAAAAGAAAAAAAACAACACGACAAAAAGACATTAGTTTGCAGACCTTACAACTCCGAAATATTAGTTTGCATAAGATAATGTAGACATACCATCTTATTTACCATGTAGCGTGTGTAGCTTAAGTTTACAACGTGCCTAAAAAACAAGTGAACATAAAGGCACAACAAATACAGTTAGAACAACGAAGAAGTACGATCCATTCTACTTTCAGTTTCGGTTTCGATTTCAAGTCTCTCAGACCGCGTGAATTCGCGAGAAACATCCCACCCCTCCTTTTTTTTATATCCTTATTTTTTTCGCATCCCGCCGATAGCACTCGCCTTCCACTCTCCCGTTCCACCCTCTCTAATCCCCCCCTCAGCGCCGCGGAGAAGAAACCGAAAAGCTGTCGAGAACGTTGGCCGGCCGCTTTGACCGCCGCACGCACATCCAAACACACAAAAGTATTCAGCGCCCCTTTAAACCCCCGCACCACCATCAACAAAAACACCGTTACCGAAGCCTACAACGTACGCTCCTCAACCCAAACGAAAGCCGGGCATTTCTTCAAACAACGATGCGTCGCAGCGGAAAGCTCCACGACGCCGCCGCCGCCGCCGGCTCCCGAGCAGCATCAACCCCACGACGCGAACAGTCAACAGAGCAGCGTCTCTCCATGGCTCCGTGCTCGTCGTCGGAGTGCTCGTCCGTCGGGACGCGGTGATCGCCGAGAGCTGGCGACTTCGGCGAGGGCCATGGGCAAGTTGAAGGCGTTCGACATCACGCTGGACGGTTGCCGCAGCGTCTATCATCCAGGTCAGGCCGTGCGGGGCAAGTGCGTGTTGGACCTAAAGGGCGACATGCGGCTCAAGGCGTTGCGTGTGTTCATGCGGGGCCTGGCCAAAGTGCACTGGACAGAGTCGAGGAGCACGGGGAGTCGGCTCGGCGCCTACACCGAGCACTACAACGCCGAGATCGAGTATTTCTTTCAGGGACAGACTCTCTTCGGTTCGGGTGAGTGCTGACGTTCTCCCTTACCAGTCATTAAAAATTAAAAAATAAATGAAAAAATTAACGCTAATTTTGCTTTACAACGTGCACGCACGCACACACATTTTTTTTGTGTGTGCACGTTGTAAAGCAAAATTTGCGGTTTTTTTTTCTATTTTCTTTTATTGGCGGTTTTTATTATTATATAATTTTATACTCATATATAACCCGAAAAATCAGCTTAAAATTACAGGCACGTGAAAGACCAAAATAACATACCTATATTTTCAGACACCTAAATATGGGTGGGTGTGAAATAAGCGTCAACAAAGCTCTGTATACCTTTACATGGGCAAATCTCGAAAATAAACTGCTTTGTTTTATTTGTATTTATCTAAGAGTACTTATATTAACCCTCCCATTTAGGGGCTTCCTACGAATCAGCTTAAAATTAGGCACGTGAATAATAATATACAGCCTGGTATTTCGGAATAAAATTCCCTCCTTAAAATGTGGTAAAAAAATGGACGAATTAATATTGTATTTGTTTGTAGAAGATAGACTTTTATTCTAAGAAGTGCATATCTATGTATGTTTCAGGTGAGTAAATGTGTACGCGTGTAAAATAGGCATTGAAAAGATTTTTCGCGTATACATGGGTAAATCACACACACACAAAAAGAAAAGATAAAGGATTGAATTATTTGCTTTGTTTCATTTCTATAAGTGCTCATATAACCCGACGAATCAACCTGAAATTAGATACGTGGATATATTGTATACAGGGTGTCTCGGGACAAAGCTCCCGCCTATAAGTATTGTGCAAAGAGCAGCAAATGGACATATCACAGTACTTTACTTGAAGTACATTCTCGAAGTATATACTTATGCTTTACTTAAATTTTTTTTTCTAGTATTTTCCAAGGAAAGTACAACTCCCGAATTCAAAGTAGATTCTCTAAATTTGGTTCGGGGAAATTAAGTTCTTTTAAGGACCACACGCTCGCGTCCATGGCTTTCCGAGTTCTATACACAACTTCTGTGGCCGAGTATAAGTGTTTACCACCCTCTAGCGAAAAAAATTACATATCGTCGCTATCATCTTTCAAAACGTAATCCAATCATTTCTCCGAGTGAAGTAATGGCGGCTGTAGACCGATACAAATAAGTGCCTTATGAATCGATTGTACTAACAGCGAGAGTAAAATAAGCACTCGGTGGCCACTTGACTTTATACAATATTCGCCACTCCCTTATGCACCCCCCCCCCCTCTTCCCCCTTTCTTTTTTCTCGATTACCTGTTTGGCAATGCATACCAATTAAAAAAAAAAAAAAAAAACACTGTGTAGGGGAATGAAAGATTGTGTTTAGAAGAACTTGTACTTTACTTGTAAAGTGCACCGTATTTTTAGTACTTTAGTTAAGGTACTTGTGCTCAGTGTACTTACTGCTTTACTTGAAGTACTTAACCTCTCCTTTACTTTGTACTTTACTTCAAGTACTTCTTAGATGTACTTTACCCAACACTGACTTATTATCGTAATTTCTCTAGAATACATACCTTGCTGCTAAAAATAGCTTACTTAGATGCCTAACTATGTACGTGTGTCAAATAGGCATTAAAAAGTGAATTGCCTACATGAAGAAAAAAGAATGCTGGCTGCATGTGATGTCACTTTCCTCGGTTCACGTCCTCTGACGTTTTATTGCTTGCTCTAAATGTCAACTTTAACGGTGCCAAAACCAAACCCTCTGCGGAATGGCAAGTTCGTCTGCTTCTTTTTGCAGCGGTTGTGGTGACGTCAGAAAGATGACGAGCTCTTATTGGTTCTGAAGGAAGGATAGTGGGTAGACCTCAAGGCAGCTTACTTTGAGGTCTACCCACTATCCTTCAGTAAGAGCCAATCAGAGCTCAGCGTCTTTCTGACGTCACCACAACCCCCGCAAAAAAAAGCAGACAAAGTTGTGCTCCGCAATGTGTGTATGCGTCGCCCACATCAAAATAGCCATGATATGTGAGCCAAAAGGAGCTAAATATCAGATCATAATAACCGATTTTCTAGCGTGATTTTCAGTGGTTACTTTTTGTGAATGAGTTTGCAGCTTAGCTGTCAACTTTCTTTAATCCCAAATTTGAAAGTCATAAAATTTTTCTCTTTTTCGCAGGTTTCCAAACTTTATTTTGAGGGCGACTGATATTGGCGACCTTATCGCCTAGTGATTGGCACACTGTTCATGACGGGAAATTTGAACGGATATTCACATCAACAGTTGCTTTTGCGTACTTTAATCTTAAAGCCGATGCAGTGTTGGTCACCGTTTACATCGCAAATTCTCACCTCGGGGATTAATTACAATTAGACACGAGGAAGATACATAGAAAGTGGGGACGGACAACGAATACTTCCACTTTCTATGTATCTTCCTCATGTCTAATTACCGTTACCAACACGCTCGTTTTGTACTTGATTAATTACAACTTCCCAATATTTCGTGTATGGACTATGTACCGTGCTTTTGACAAGTTGATAGATTGAGCGATCGATTTAAACCATCTGTGATGCCGTGCCGGGAAATAATTTGCAGCTTGGAGAACCCAGAGCGAGTGATAGACTCATATATTGATTAATAATTGGCCTCGGATATCTAATCAAAGAACTCCGGTACCGTATACCTTCCTGATTTTGTTTTCTAGGTATTTTAATGGGAAACGTGAAATATATGTGCTGGATAGATTGCCGCTCGTAGGCAAAATATTAGGTCCACTAATAATATCTTTTTATTGATTGGTGGTAGGCTGATAGCCTTAACAACTTAAATGTCGATATCTCAAGAACGTTGCCGATTTAGCTCAAAAAGCACAAAAAGGTTTTCGACCTGATGATACATGTGCTGGCAACACAGTGTATTCTCGGGTGAGCGATGTCTGATGGATGCTAATAGCTGTACTCTTTATAACGGGCGGTACGTTGCGCCACCTAGCCTAGAAACCAAAAGTATTATTCCTCCCATCGCCCTTCTAAGCTCTGCATTCTTGCAACAATCACGACCATCTATTTTTTTTTCTCGATTGTTTTACATTTACCACACTCGCGAAAATAATCCATTTACAGATCACTTTGTGAAATATTTTGTGAGCCCGAAAGGCGCTCTAGCCTAATGAAATTTATTTTCACTCATTCGTACATTTGTTTATTTTACCCTCTCACGAACATCTGATGTTGTTCATTCGATACTCATTACGTTTCTAGGTCTCTTATTTTAACTTTGAATTTCCTCTGATATTCAGGGCTCGTCTTTGCAAGACTAAAATCTGCGCATACACACACGTACACACGAGAAAAGTGCCAAAATAAAAGGACGAATTTATTGACGTTCATGCTTTCTCTGCGTGCAATGCTATTTTCCAAGGGCCGCTCTAGACCACGTGTTGTAACTATAAATTTCTCTTTACTCATCCAATATAAATTACGGCATAGGAAATCTATTAGAATCGTGTTTGTTGTGTTATATTGGAATATGTGTCTTCAAAGTTGAAACTTGTACGGGTGGTTCTCATCATATCAATTTAAACTCCCCGCGCCAGAGCCGTTTATACTGAGAGAGTTTGGCCGATGGGCGGAGCTTGTTGGCCGCTAGAACAAGCGGATTTCGCGATAACACAATATGGCGTTACTTCTTTGTCTTGTTCATTCCTGAGAAATCGCGTAGAGTTCCTATGAGTCAGAGCCACAATATGGCGGACGGAAGTAGTCATCCCCGGTTGTCAGACTACGCTGCTGTGGTTGTCAGACTGTCAAAATCTCCTTAAGAAGGCCAAACTCTCTCAGTATAAACGGCTCTGCCCCGCGCTTGTTATTATTGTTTTGGTATTACTATAGAAAAGTTTGATCTCTCTTTTTTTTTTAGATTTACGTATTAATACAAATTAACTGGAACAGTCGCCTCATGAATGTTACACTCCTGCCAGTTCATACCGTTGAAGTCATTAATCAAGGCACAACGCTTCTACGGATTGTCTGCGAAACAATGAACGGCATCGCCAGGCGTTCAGCTGTTCTGTTGCCTGTTTTTGAAGAGAGAGCAAAAGTTGAATAAACAAAAAAAAAAAAAAAATGACTTAAAAAAAAAAAAAATCATCGAGAGAACGAGGAGAAATTATATGAAGACCATTATATGCAATCTTCTAAATACAGTGGTGTCTCGATGTATTCTACAGATTTAGGCGATCCATAACTAATTTAATAAAGTATTCTCACTTCTAGAGGAGTTTCTCATAATGTATTATTTTGGTTTTCATCGTTAATATTTTATCTCTCATTGTTAATGTGGCGGTACGTAGTCAGTACACCTGCTCTCTCCTTTTTCTTCTTTTTTTTTTTTAACGTCCAAGCTTTTAGAAAATATTTACAAAAGAAAAAGGTTTCTTCGTACAAATGTAATTGGATGAAGTATGTAATATATTTCGGGTGATCGTTTCCAGCGCTCTGTTGAATGCTGTCTTTAGAGCAACGAGCCCTTTTCAAAACTGAGTGCTTTCCCCTGACGTGCGCTTTTCATTGGAGAATCTAAGTCACAACCGTGAAACCAGACAGACGTAAAAGTTCATAATAAAATATTACTACGTTACGTAAGAAAACATCGCTACTTTCAAAACGAATCCAGAAAAACATTCGCCAAGGTTATATATGCTGGGCGGGATCCCGCTATCTGATGTTAAGCGGCTGTACTTTTATAACAAATTAATAGATTTACGCCGTATAAGAAGTGTCTCGTTCCGAAGTCCATGGAAATCTTTGTGGTACACACTAAATTGCCGCGTCGCGTTGTTAACCGGGCGTTGCAAGGGTTCACGATACGTCATCAATTGTCCCGCGAAGGAAATCCTGGCGAACATTTCCTAACGCAGCATTGATACATTCCTCTGGCATGTGCAACCGACCGAGCTGTCATTAATTGTCTGTGGCAATACCGGACCATGTTGGGGCGAAGTGTGGCGCGTCGACCGCGAACACGAGATGCG